GTTTGTCGTCAAAAGCTTCTATGTTATTGTCTTCCAATGTCGGAATAGTCTCGAAATGTTTTAGTCAGTATTTTTGTCATTTTCCATAGAGAGTTGTCTCTTATATTTAGGCCTTGTAATTTAGTTTGCCAGATATTATTTTTGTGTTGAGCTATTTTTAGAGTAATCTGTCCGGACAATAGATTGAATTGCTCTCTATCTTGTGGTCGTCTATGTCTTTGCCATATTTTTAAGCTTACGAAGCGATAGCCTCAGCCACGGAGCCACAGGTGCTCTTGCAAAATGCTTATAGCTAGGCATTACTTTCCGCCGACATGAACGACGTCACAATATCTATTAACGGTAGGTAGGTATGTATTAATCGGTAGGCATCTATTAACGGTAGGTATTAACTATTTTAGTAGGCTACCGTTTAACGGCTGTTTAAGTACATCGTAAAAAAATTACATCGCGGATTCTTGTAGAGCATAAAATTTCCTCAAAAATCTATCTGATTTTTTTTTCAATTCAATAATTCCTATATTTGTAAGCTTTATAAAGTGAAAAAATTCAGTTTTAGTATTTATTTCGTGATTTTTGTCTTATTTTAGTGATTTTTAGTGAGTGTATTGAGAATTTTTAATTTTTATAAATTGAGGGTCAAAACAAAACTATATTTTTCAATTGACAAAAATACTTATTTTACCATAAAACTGTATTTGTTATCGTAAAACTGTAATAACTCAAATAAACCTAATAGAAAATCCTGTTTCTTATAGGCTGACATATTATCTTGCAGGAATCACTGTAGTGAATCCGTCAATTTTAGTAGTCACAAAGAAAATGTATTTAGAAAGTAGCCATAATACTTAATGGAACATTATTTAACTTAAACTCGTAATAAAACTTACCAATAAATAACTATGGTCCATAAAACTCGTACTCTATAAAACAAACAAGAAATTAACGAAGTTAACAGAAGTTTGACGCAGGTAATTATTAATTTAAGGATGATTACTTAAATATGCTACGTAAAATTAAGTAAGACATTTAATGACGACAAACAAACTACCTTGTGTTATACCAAAACAGATTGAATTTACTCACACGCCAGATGCTTATTTTTCTATGTAGAGACAGAAGTGGTTTGTTTATTTTTTCTTGCAGGAAAGTGTTAAACATTTTGACTGGTCTTGATATATGTCTTTATACACCCGCTTCCAAAATTATCTTAATTTATATACTTAAAAGGACGGGATATAAAAAAATTATTTTAAAATATAAATTTTTAAATATAAATTTTTTGTACATTCTATATATTGTTTACTGCATATTTTTTAAACTATATTATTATATATTTTTTATTTTTATTTAATTTTTTTATTTTATATTTTATTTTATGAAATCCTAAAAAGGTAATATTCATATTATATAAAATTGTTGTTGTAAAGAGGCATATATTTTATATTTAAAAATAACATTGTTGCCAGTTTTCAGATGATTTATGAAATTTAGATATTACCATATTTTTTTTAATATCATTTCTGATGAAATATTAATAACAATCTTACTAATTTTAAATTTATTTATCCTTATAAAACGTCTGTTTTTTTTTATTTGAGTCAAGTGTAAAAGAGCAGCAGCAACTCCAAAATAAACATTCCTATAAGTTAAAATTCTATTTCCATTTCTGTAGTAATAGGTCTTATAAATTAATATAGATTTAAATTAAATTTGTTGACATGTTTCTAGACCCCTGTTATAATAATCCCGAAGGATGTCTGATTTAGGTAAAAAATGTACTTCCAAAATATCATTTAAAAGCGATTGGCAATGACTGCGAAGAAGACTATGTCTGCCATTTAAAAATAGGTGTTGGTCTGGAAAATATTATTTTTTTCTTAAAATATATTAATTTCTGCATTTTTTTTTTCAATGACATACAATATTACTGCCATGGAAAAAATGTCCATGTTAAAAAGTTACTAAAGGCAAACTGCTCATCTACTCATCAAAAATTAAATAAATATTCAATAAATTTTCAATAAATTTTCAATAAATTTTCAATAAATTTTCAATAAATTTTCAATAAATTTTCAATAAATTTTCAATAAATTTTGCTCGTCTACTCATCAAAAATTAAATAAATTTTCAATAAATTTTCAATATATTTTCAATAAATTTTCAATAAATTTTCAATAAATTTTCACTTATAATATCACAAGAGCTTAAATTATTTTCGGAAATTTTTTTGAGGGCACGAATATTTCGAAAATTATCCCGAGTCGAAGACGAGGGATAATTTTCCTAAAATATTCGTGCCCGAAAGAAAATTTCCAGGAATAATTTAAGCATGCGTGGTATTCGGTAAGAAAATTTCACACTTAAATTTGAAAAAAAAAATATTAATCCAACATGACATTTTAAAATAATTTCAATTTGTTAAGTTGGCCAAGGTATTGCTAAAACTCAAATGGGTAATATTTCAATATATAGACATTGTAGTTCATTCACATTATGATTGTAGATCTTATGTTAAAAAAATATTTCCACTAAAGTTTCGTGGCGCCTCGAAAAAATTTCCGGAAATTTTTTCAGTTGCCATGGTAACTAGTCAACATTAAAGCATGTTATTGGTTGAAAAGTAGAGGTGTGAAATTTTCAATAAAATTTTCAATAAATTTTCAATAAATTTTCAATAAATTTTCAATAAATTTTCAATAAAAATAATTGTTATGGCACAGATAATGTAGATTTTATTTTTTAATGCATATGTTACGGTTAAGGTCCGATGTCCGGTTAATGTCGACATTACCCGGTTAATCTCGAGAATAACACACAACAAAACAAACAAAAACATAACCAAACCCAAACATTAACCTGTTAATGTCGACATTAACCGGACATCGGACTTTAACCGTAACACATAATATATTACAAAAACGTAGCCAAAAAATTAATTTTTAATTAAACAGAAAATGTGCTAAAATAATGAAATAGCTGATTGAAAATCGGGTTCAACGATGTTAAACATGTTCTATAGATTTATGGATTTCCTAACCAATTAGAGTAGTACGAGATTTTTGCTCTGAAATTAACTGTTGTCAACCGACGATGATTGTTTTGATCGGCGGTAAATGAAATTTAAACGAACTTTAGAACTAATACAACACACACAGCCAATGTGAATTTCCCGTTAAAATAGAAACAATAAAATTAGGTATATTTATTAGTATTGTGCATGCCGTTGGGGCGGATTTATTCCTGTTAAAATATTTCCTGCTATTGTTAAAATTTAACGCGAGGTTGAATAATAAATAGATAGGTTAAATTTTATAGCTTAATACTCTGTTAATAAGTCTATCAAAATTATGTCAAAATATGTTAAATAAACAATTGATTCAAATGGAGATAACTGTATTATGGATATAACAGTACTGCTCAGAATACCTACTTTGTAGGATCATTCTAGAACTTCTTGAAAAACTAATTTTATTAACAAACTAGTTTTACTTTGAACTGACAATAAAATTAGGAACTTTATAAAGGGTGTTCCAGGCTAAGCGTGCATTAAGTTTCTAGAGAACCACAATAACTAGATCGAAGATATTTTTCACATCATTGTTTTACAACGAGATCTATTGATTAAAAATATTTTCAGTATGGCGGCACTTCCGGAAAAAAATAAAACAGCGCAAAGTTGGTTTGGAAAGGATGAACGATAACATACTGCTTTTTGAACAAAGTGTCACAATATGACATGGCCAGATCTAATGTTTTACATCATTTGACGATTAAAGTCATAGGCTACTGGTTAAAATCAAGAAAAATATACGCTTTAAAACTAAATTTTAAATAACTTAAAAACTATTTATTTTAGGTATAGGAACATGCATAGTAGCTTTACAAAAAACGAGATTTGGTATGTTAGTATATGACATAAATTAGAATTTATTGGACGTATTCAATTATTTTAGTCACTTCCTGTTTCAACGGAAATGGTTATAACTTTTAATTTTTAAATTACACCCTCAGTATTCGATAGAAAATGACACTCTGTATAGAATAACATATCATATGTCAACTTTTGACATTTTCGCATATGGTTTATTTGAAATTGTAACATGCTCCTAACGACAATTTGACTCGAAATACCAAGTGATACCAAATTATGCGTAAAAAAATGTATTTTCCAAATATGCTAATGAGCCACCCTTGTTCTATTTGAAAAAATTGAGATATGATTTAAAATAGTATCTGGGCATCTTTTAACCGGCTAGGAAGTCACGAAAAACATTAGGCGATCAAATTTATTTTTCCAAGGCTCCTTGATTAAAAATTCTTGTTTTTAACACACCCATGACACTCTATATTGAAGTTAAATCATACAATTTGTTTTTAAACGAAAATGTCAAAAGTTGACATATGATATGTCATTCTATTCGGAGTGTCATTTTCTATTGAATAAAGTAGAAATATACCGAGAGTGCCATTTAAAAAGTAAAAAGTTTTGGTCATTTCCGGTGAAACAAAAAGTGACTAGAAACAATTGAATACGTCCATATCTCGTTTTTTTATCTGAAAAAATAAAAAAGTTATAGGGGTTGTGAGCCACTTTCGAGACGCACCCGGTATAACATTTGGTGTTTTAATTTGTTTGGCGCTTTCCGGGATATTATAATTAAATTCTGGGATCCGGAACAACAATGAAATCCGGGATTTTACCAGATATCATCAAGGTTTAATGACTTGATCATTCTTAATTTTTTTAATTGCAATTTTTGACAGCTGGCATATTTTTCGATGATTTTAATTAGTCTTTGCAGCAAACAAACGAATCTTTCCTCAGCTTTTTGCAAAACAAATCGATTTAAAACATAAAGACGACTTGAAAATAGCCAATCGACCATAGATTCGCCCTCACAACCCTACCGACTTTCCGTCGGAACTGGCAACGAGGCTGCGTATACTCTCGCCTATGATTCTCCGACCGGGGACCACGGCACGCTTTGATCATTTTCCACGTTACACGCGAAACAAGCTAACGTGCCGCCGCGTAAACGCTACCTTATTTTCCGTTTCCGCTACGCGTCGTCGTCGTCGAGTTTTCCAACGGAACTCCGAAAATCCGAACTCGCGTTCAGCATACCGGTGAGCCCCGCTCTCAAGTGCCTAACTAACGCTTAATTATTCAACTGTTGATCAAAGAAGACTCGGCAAGGAGTAGAAGAAGATATGTTTTAATAATTCAAACTACGCGCCGAATTGAGAGATTTATACAAGAGGCGCAGAACAAAAATCAAAATTGCTTAAAAGGAAAAAGAAAATAAGGCCTAAACACCTGAGCACCTTTTTACTGAGACGTATTTTCTATACTATAAAGGTTCTAATAAATTATCCTTAAACAATAGTGCAATAAAATATATACCACGTAGGAGATAGTATAGTAGCTGCCTTATTAAAATTGTCGCGCTGAATCAATAAAGCTGAATTATTAATATTGTAACGTTAAAGAGATGTTTTATAATAATATTTAGTGTATACATTAGAGAAGAAAAGCCGTAGAAACATAGTTTGCAAAAAAATAGTGATCGCAGTGATTGTGAGTGACTTATAGGATTAACTCTTAACATTTGGATGCTCTGAGTCAGGTAATTGAATCTAATGACAACCAAACGACGAAAAAGCATTTACATTTTATAACAAAATTATAAAACAAATTATCAAGCAATTCAAAAATTTATTCAAATTCTGACTCATTTTCATAAAGTATTTAAGAAAAGTATTGAAAGATCGACTATTATCCAGAATATTAAAGGAAGCATATGTGGTCGTCACAGGAAATAAATTCCTGATAGATATACTTAATTTTAACCAATATTCTGTAAAAAAAAATATTTCAACTTCGCTGGTAACCTAATGTTGTCATGATTGTTAAACGATGATATTTATATTGCATCTTAGTTTCATTTAGGTTTAACAGATCGACAATAGCTGCCAGTTGACAACAGAACTATGCACAAATTATCCCTATTCTTAGTGCACAATAAAACCATAAAGCTGAAGACTGTATTTACCTATGGTATTTACCCTCCAGAATTGCAATTACTAACAGGCCTTGTCATTCCTATGGAAGGTTGTTGAATTGTACTGCTTATGTCTTTTGTTAGTATATTGTAACTACTTATACAGCATTCAGAAAATATAATGTGCAAAAACGTAGACTTTAAAAAATAGTTTAGTTATATACACTATCGGACAAAAGTAGAGCAACAAAGTTCATTTTTATTCATGTTTGAATAAAAAAAAATATTAGGTTGTGATTTTCGGCTATGTTTACTAACACACTATCCTTACACTATTACTATAGTACTATTTTAGTACTAGTACTATAGTACTAGTACTATTTTGGTGTAAATCAGTTTAAAAATGGTAAATAATATTGATTATAAAAATTGATAAGAATGGGGGCGACAAAAGTAGAGCAACAAATTGTATTCAACAAATTTTATTGTGTCTTTTTTCAAAAAAAATATTTAACACATTTAAGAACAATAATATTTGAAAGTCATACATTAGTAATTGATAGAATATCCATTATTATTAATAACTTGCTGACAACGGCGCGGCATTGAAGCAATCAACTTCTGAATGACATTTTCGGGAACTGGAATGACATTTGTCCAAACTTCATTAATTTTATCTATCAAGGATTGTTTATTTGGAAACATTTGGGTACAAATACGACGTTCTACTTCTTCCCAGAGATTTTCGATGGGGTTAAGGTCTGGGGATTGTGCTGGCCATTGCAAAACTCGAACGTCATTTTCCCTAAACCACTGTTGAACAACTTGTGAAGAGTGTTTTGGATCGTTGTCCTGTTGGAAAGTAAAACGCAGTGGCATTTTCCATTCTGCATAAGAAAGCATGGCATTCTGCATGATATTCCTATAAACAAATCGGTCCATCGTGTCATTAATAAAGTGTATAGGGCCTATCCCATTCCATGAGAAACAACCCCATAAAAATACCCTTTACCGTGTTTAATTGTAGGTGTTACGTATTTAGGATTAAACCTTGTATTGATCGGTCGCCTCACACATCTCATTCCATCAGAATTGAATATTTTGTAGCGCCTTTCATCACTGAACAAAACTTTTTTCCAGTCATTGACGGTCCAGTTTAAATGCCGACGTGCCAATGCCAACCTTGCTGCTCTATTTCTTTCCGAAACTAACGGCTTTTTGGCTGGACGTCTACTAAATAAATTTGCACCTGCTAATCTTCTTTGTACTGTTCGTATACCAACCGTAATTTCTGGAATTTCGGCAATAATTCTAGGTGCGGACTTCCAAGGGTCATTTTGAGCAATTTTTTTGATACGTCTGTCGGTCATTAGTGTATGTTTTCTTTGGCCTTCCCGATTTTGGCAACTTTTCTAAGTGTCCCCTGTTATTATGCGATGAAATTATTTTAGATACACTGTACCGGGGTAACACAAACTGTCTTGAAATATCAGCTTGTTTGTACCTTCCATGAATGCATGCACAACTCTTTGCTTCAAGTTTTTTGAAGTTGGAATTCCTCTTGGCATGACCAATCCAGCATAGAAATGTTTTAAAAAAACATAAAATAAACCTCGCAGAATTATTTTGGGCTTTGCTTTTGCTAAAACCCTTCTTTCTGAATTATTTGAATGTTGCTCTACTTTTGACGCGTTACTATTAAGCATCTAAAACTAAATGTCAAAATAAATTCATTTGTTTTGTTAGTAAAAATTCTCGTTGTCATGGATACTCATAGCCTACTTCGTAGTTTTTAAATTTATTGTATTTGTATACATTATCATGCATGTATAATTAAAAAATCGCGATTTGCAAATATTTCTTGAAGTGTTGCTCTACTTTTGTCCGATAGTGTATGTATTTTTTGTAAATATCCTAGGAGCCATAGATAAAAATCAATTGACGCGAAATTTTCAGTAACCCATTTGTTGTCTTCTGGAAATGTGGCAGAAAAATAAACACTAATGAACATATTATCGTCTGATTGGAAAGAATTACGTCAAGTAGGCTTGTAAATAACTATCGATGACTTTCACCATCTAATTGTTGTATAAAATGACAGTAATTAATATTTCCAAGCCAATTCTTACACCTTTTTGTTTCGATAGTATGGTATTTGATGTATGTATAATTTTTTTAAAAATCCGAAGAGGGATTTTAGAGCCACTGACTCTTTCACTGACTTCTAAGACGCAGTATCCCATTAGTTGATGTAATTCAAGTCAAATTCTTTCCCAAAAACAAGGATAAAATCAATATTTAATGAAGTAGACGTCCATTGTTTTGTAAACAAAGAAATAAAACAATAATTATTGTTGCCAATCAGTTTTTTTTGTTGAAACGAACTTTTAGTCTCACTTTCTACATACAAAATATTATAAAATACACAATGTTTTATAGATTAGTGTTTAAATTTAAGATTGTAAGTACTAAATCTGTCTAAAACTCAGATTATCAAAGATTATATCTGAATTATTTCTGTACAAGATTAGATTTAAATGTTTGTCATTTTGACTGACACTACAAATATTAAATACACCTGACGCCGAATATATTAAACAATAGCTTATCGCTATCTCCTCCGTGTTTTAAAACAATTATGACATAGATCATAATTCAATTATGACATATCGAATTCCTTTTGTTATTTTCCACTTTTAAAATCAGTCAATCATCAATTTTATTCTACCTTTTTATATGCGTAAGTGGACGAAAAATGTCCGAAACCAGCAGGAATTTATTGGATAATTTTACGATCTGGGAAATTATTTTTAAACAACACTTAACTCTAATAGTTTCAAATGCTTTTTCGTCGTTCGGCAATTAGCTTAGAATATCTATTTTTAAGTTTTCACAACGTTTGAGCCATTTCCAATATATCGTGTTTGCCGTGCAGCGTTTATCCTGTGACAATATAGCTTTTCTATTAAACTAACAGGCAGCTAGTTGATGTACACATATGTAGTTGGGAACAAAACCGTTGCGTGTAAAATTTTGAACGTCAGGGACGCAGACAGGTATATGAAAAACTTTAATCGATAAAGTAAACTATAAAAGGTACCAGGCACAGTATAAAAACCGCTTAACCTATTGACACTGGATAACAAAAATGCATACAAACTTCTTAATTGAATTAAGGGACAATATGTCCCGTAACCTATAAAAAAACAAGTGTATACAGGGTGCTACAAATTCGAGGTACGAGCATTGGTATCTCGGTAACCCTAATAGATACGAACATAGTTAATTTAGGGCAAAGGTGCGCTTTAGGATGTCCACCAAGATGCCATCAAAAAAGTTTTAAAAATTTCAAGGATTGCTGAGTTTTTTGGAAAAAACGGATTTTTTTTGAAAATCAATTTTATTTTTTTCTGTCGTTACTTTTATGAAAATCAAAAAAATAATTGCACATCATCATAGCTACTTTATAAGGGCTATCTAATAGTATTTTTAGATTTTCAAATTAGTTGATAATTTGTGAGATACAGGGCCAACTTAATTTTTTAAATAGGGACCTGCGTTTTTTATTTCAGATTTTAAAAGAGCTCGGTCTCCTGAGTGCAATGAGATGCCACACTTAATATCTTTTTTGTTTCGGACATTTGAACATAATTTATTTAAACTAATTTTAAGTCCGGCTCTGTTTTTTTTTAAATATTTAATCTATTCCTCGTTACAATATTGAAAATCTTTCAAACTTAACAATGACGTGGGGTAAAACATTGAATATGGAAAATCAAATACAATAAAATAATAAAAAATAATATACAAATGAATACATTACTTCACGTCATTTGTAAAAGTGAAATCAATACATCTCAATATTTACAATAGAAAGTACAAAATACATTCGGAAGTATAAGAAGAAAGTTCAAAAGAGCTATACATAAAATTGAACGAAAAATAAATTTGTGTAATTAGGAGGGTGGTAACCCTTTCGAACATGTATAGCATTTTAGAAACTAGTTTGTAGAAGTCGATTTATTTATAATAACTACGATTAATATTACGCATATTATTAGATCGCATACTGAGATTTTAAATTCACAATAAAAAAAGTAAAAAATAATATCTTTAAATTGCTGACCTGGATATAATTTATTTGTATCTTCCAATAATTGGTTAGGGATTCGATTTTTCTTATTCAATGTTAATTAGCGTTGATCAATATTGTTGCGATGAATAGAATCATATTAAATAATTTAAAAAACCAGAGTCGGACTTGAAATTATTTTAAATAATAATTAAATAGTTTTCTTGTTGTTAAGGTACCCAAAACAAAAAACAGTATAAAGTGTGGCATACCATTGTACGCAGGAGACCGAGTTCTTTCAAAATCTCAAATAAAAAATACAGGTCCGTATTTAAAAAAATTAAGTTGGCCTCTGTATCTCACAAATTATCAGCTAATTTGAAAATCTAAAAATAATATCAGATAGCCCTAATAAAGTGGCTCTGAGAATGTGCAACTAGTTTTTCGATTTTCTTAAAAGTAACAACAGGAAAAAATAAAATTGATTTTCAAAAAAATATGTTTTTTCCAAAAAACTCAGCAATCCTTAAAATTTTTAAAACTTTTTTGATGG